GACCCGTTTAACCCTGATATAGAAATCTGCATCCCCTTGTTGGAATCCATGGTTGGTAGGGCTGAATCTTTATCGCTCAAATAAAATACTAAGAACTTTTTTTTTAATACCTTCAAATCAAATACTGATAATGATATTCTGAGGAAAAAATCACGGATAGATACATAATCAAGGTAAAAATCACAAACAGATCAAATAGTTTACTTTCTAAATTTTTCAATGCAAGCAGTCAAATGGTGAACTTCTGAAAAACTATTTTCGATAAATAAATACATTACTTCAGTAGTAGGAGAATTGAAGAATGCAAAATGTATCTGATCTGGTGACCTTCTTGTAGAGATAGGCTCTTCAATGGAGTCTGCAAATCTTATGAAAGTGACAGTGACGGTTTCAGCATACAAATATTGAACTTCTGTCATGGTATTATCTTAGAACCAGACCTTACTGAAGTACCTGATGAAGAGATAGTTACAAAGCTAGAAGATCAGCATGTATGTAGTGCCATATGAATCAAGTATCATAAAGAAGGCGTGCTGTATCCTATGAAGGATGTCATCCTCATGTACAAAACTCCTGAGCGCTACCAAAAAGCGTAAAGGCAGGCTATCCGCATTGCTAGTCTGTCCATATATGCCAAACCCAATGTAATTTTCAGTGTCAGTGGTTTGGATACATGAAAACCTCATGTCAGGATAGTCCAACAGGGACAATATGTTCAGAAATCCTCCATGAATTTGCAGTGCTGCTTCATTATGTGTAAAAAGCAAAAGAAACCATCCAGCTTATACAAGGTCTTGTTCAACTTGGCAGATGGGAAAAAGGAAGTGCAATACTTGAAGGTCACAAAGAATATCTCATTTGCAGAAGCAAGCAAGTTTCTTTTAAATACCCAAACCATATCTTCTGGTTTGGTTTAGTTTGCTTTAATCAATTATGGCAAAGTACTTGAGGGCTATCTGCTTAAAGGAAGACTTCCTAAGGGAAACTGTCTCGTGTACACATTACACATAGGGAAAATCGCAGAAATGTCCATGCAGCCAGCCCTTTTACATGATTTAAACCTCAGACTGAACTACCAGTGTTCAGCGATTTTACCACTTGGCCGCTGGTAGGCCTCCAAACAATATCTAAATCCTCATATTCAGCTATGATAAAGTCATTTAAATTGATAGGAATCCAAACTAAGATCAGCATTTTTCTGAATTCGAACACTATACAGACAAAAGTCAAATTAGCAAGGAATCATCTACTTCAAACACTAAATATCCAGCTGCACAAAATACAGTAAATATAATTGTTATTTTCTGTAATAATATTGAAAATAAAGAGAAACTAAACATTCCAAAAGGTAATAAGGTAATTGCGAGGCACCAAATCGGATGAGTGCTCAATCCATAGATTCAGAAGATATAAGAGACCGAGGAAGATCTGACTTTCCATCACAAAGAAAAACAAGAATTGCAGAAGACTAAGCATTCATGATGCCCTTTCTTATCTCTTGGAAATGTTGTAGCTTCCACCAGAGTTTGAGCAATAAATATCATCCACTTTGTTTTGCAATTGAAGAGACTTCTCAAACCAGATAAGACTGAGAAGCTTCGTAGATATTTTATGGTGATGGGAGATAAGATAAGTAACAAACATGCCTGTGGAGGTGTAGCCATTTTCGCCTCACATGTTGACTGGTCTTTGTCTGTACTCCCTTTAAGGACAGATCTCCAAGCTATTGCTGTATAAATGTAAGTTGTTTGATTACTGCCTGTTGTTTGGATCTGCTACTGAATAAAAATATCGATCAATGAGTTTTAAATGAGCTCATAGAGTAGCTGCTAAGTTCTTCTATAAGTCTTGGTAACTTTAATGGATACAGTATTCTTTGGGAAAGTAAGGATGCCAATGCACGTTGAAGACATATAGAGCAAATGATTGAGGATAATGGCATCTGTCTGCTTGAGAGCAGGCAGAATACTTATTTTCATGAATGTACAAGAGCAGACCATGCCCTCGGTCTTGCCATTACTTATGCTATTTTTATCTCTTAGTGTTGGAGATGATCCTTTCAATAGCAATCATTTCCCTCTCATAATGACTTTCATAGAAAGCAGAATGGGTCCTCTTCGAAAAACTCTCTAATTTCTCTTTCATTGAACAAGTTGGGAATTGTTTACTACCCATGCTGAAGTTATAGAGGAAATGATGAGCAGTGTTCCTAAAGATGTTGCCGTTGAAGTTTTTAGAAAGACAGTGTTTCATGCTGCTGAAATCTCTGTTCCAAATTTCTGGTCAGTTCCTAAAGTATTCAAAGCCTTGGTGAAACAATGAATGCTATGTGACTCACAGGCAACAAAAAAGACCAGAAGTACTTTTTGCCAATATCCAATATTGTCCAGTCTTCTGGCTTTCAAAAGAGCTAAAGCAAAAGCTGGAAAAGTGTAACATAAAAGTCGGAGGGAAACTTGGTTAACCTACATATCATAACAGCTTCTACACCAAGTAAACAAGTGTAAAAAAGAGTTAAAAAAGCATAGGGAATATATAAAGACCACTCACTTTCCATCCTGGAAAAAGATGACCAAGCGATTAGCACTACAGAAGAGATTGCTAATAATTGAGACCTTTGCTTTTGTTTCCAGTGGCAACAGTTACTCATCAGCATTTCTTTTTGTGAAGCTATTCTCCAAAAATTTTCCAATAGCATTAAGTTCTCCCAGCTCTGATCTTTATAATAGTGATCTTATAATGCTTGAGCTGACGAGAGCCCTATTGCATGCGCATAGATCTAGCCCTGGTGTGGATGACATTAGCTATGAAATAGTAAAGCATCTATCTTTTAAGTCATTGTCTATCCTTCTCACTTTCTTTAATAGAGTGTGAAAAGGAATATCCTTTTCCTAGTGCATGGAAGCGAGTTGTGGTTATTCCCATAGCTAGGTCAGGTAAAAATGCAAGAAATCTTTCAAATTACTGACCAGTTGCATTTACTAGTTGCATTCATAAGTTGCTTGAAAAAATTTTGTTTTAAAATGAATAATCCTTTGAGCATATGTATGTGGTTTCTTCTTTTAAATTTCGTTAGCCTTGAGTAATGAAAAGATTAAGCTATCTGTTTAAAACAACATAACTACCATTTTAGAGAGGATTCATTGTTTGTGTCTATAGCTGGAATATGAAATTCTGTCCTGTAAATAACTGGTGAGCAGAATTAGCTACAGTTATGAATTTAATGTTAAACAATGGTGTAAGAACAATGTGCTACAAAATGACACCATTGCCGTACTTTCTGTTGAGAAAATTCAGATTGTAGCAGTTAAAAAATGCCCCACCTGTGGCCAAGTGGTTAAAATTTCTGAATATTGGTAGTTTTAACCCTGGTTAATGGGCTTGGCTGCATGTTTTGTTTTCAAGGGCTTATCCATCTGCAACATGAATATGAACCATTTTCTCTTCGAAAATCCTCCACAAAGCCATTCCTCCCTTTATGCACATAGCCTTTGTCTTCTTTGCCATATTAAGTAAGATAACCTAACCTCTCTCTAAAACTGTGAAAGATATACGAAAATGTGAATTACAAAGTTGCTGAATTACAAAGCCAGCCCATAGTGCTTTGTCGATTTAATATGAAAAGTTAAATCATGCACAGTGGTATATTACCTATTCGATCTAAAGTTTCCTAAACAGATGTGCAGCGTTTGAAGAATGAAGATACAAACATCAGTACAAAAGTGTTATTTCATGGATTAATGATATGTGCTAGGTGATTGTAGCTTCATGTTATAAGCCATTAAAACAAAACATGCAAACAAATTCACAATGCATACAACAGAATGTCAGGCATGTTCAAAGAAGTTATAAGGTTAGAGGTCCCACATTCCTTAGCATGCCTTCATGGCTTAGTGGCTCTGCACGCTGGGCCGATGTTCCAGTGGTTCGATTCCCGGTGAAGGCGTGCCAGAACTAAAAGGATGTTGGGTAATGATTTCTCCCCATCCAGGATTTGGCGATTGGGTCCTAAAAATCCCAGTCGCCCTTTAACAAAGAGAGTATATAAGGTATTTCTCCCGTCTTCCTAGCATGCTTTAATGGTTCTGCACGTTGGGTCGGTATTCCAGAGGTCCGTGGTTCGATTCCCGGCGAAGGCGATTGCTCATTTTTCATCTTGCCAGTTTTCAAAAAATACCTAATGTCTCTACAAAGTTACCATTGGCTATATAGTGCACATTCTTATTCAAAAAAGTATGTTTGCATGCACATTTATAAATATGGAAGGTGTTACTCTACTTCATGCATCAGTCATGTGATAGCATAGATCCAGAATTTTTTTATGTTATCCCAAATGAGAAATGTATCAGATGTAAATGTTTGATGATCATGGAGGCTGTTTAGGGGAGTCATCATAGCCAATAATGTGGGCTGTAAATGAACCTGTATGTTTGATTTAAGAAGATTTCATTTGCAAACACTTCTAAAGAATCTTATTTCAGAGAAAATTGCACTTTGCATTAATAAAATGTCATGCATCAGTTTTAAATATTTAAGACTGCATAGGTGTCTATTGTATTTGTATAAATAATATATTTTTTCATATTAAATCAATGGTGCTGTATCATTTTGCAGTTGACTTTTACCAACATTTCTCATAGTTTTTTAGAGAAAACCTCTAAGCTCTTAATTTCCCTGGTAGAAAGGCTCTTCAAGTAGTCTTATTGTGTAGGGCATGAATATTGTAAAAACTACAATAAAAGGATGCATGGAATATATCATTTTACTAAATCACACTATTATATTCATAACTCTGTTCACCAGCTATTTAGAGATGAATGTAATTTCTTATTCACTACATTACGACAAACTTTTAAAAATATTCTTATTTTGTTTAAAAGTTATTGAGAGACTTCTGTTTTTATATTTTCTACTGTATTAACATTTTAAATGAATTTACAATTTCAAGGCACCTTTTTTTACCTTATTTACTTAATATGGGATTTTTTTTAAAATGGTAGATACTTATATGTAAACAGTAGACCATGGCCTCAGAATTATGTGATAGAAAATCCTTTAAGTCCACCTCCAATAGCTCAAGAAATTGACATTCATGTGATTGACCTATGTACATTAAAAGAAGTAGGTACTATGCTACGGTCACATAAGGCATACACACCAAATGATGAGTGCTTCTTTATATTTCTGGATGTGAGTGATCAGTATGTGGCCAGGTAAGTACAAAATTTTGACTAATTGATATGTTTCTAGTTTGCCTAAATTATTAAGGCCTTATTGTAATAGTTACTAAAATATTTTTCAGTGGTGCTGAAGATAAACATGGCTATCTATGGGATCGGCATTATGGGAATTGTCTTGCAAAATTGCCTCATTCTGATGTTGTTAACTCTGTGGCATTTAATCCTCGAGATCCTGAGATGCTTGTAACAGCCAGTGATGATTTCACTCTCAAAGTGTGGAGGTCAAAAAATCGAGTGAAGGAATTAAATATATCAATGGACCATGAAATGGAATGGGACTTTATAAATGAATTAAATGCTCGCCCCTGATAAGACTTTTTTTTTGTTTAATATGGTAGAACTTAAGAAGAAAGAGAAAAAAGAAGAAAAAAAAAAGTAGAAAATATGTAAAAAAATACTGTTTTGATATAGTTTTATGTTGTATTGCTCCATTTTTTTTTTAAATTACTTAAATGTCTGATTAATTTTGTAGTTTTAGACCTGTTAAAATTGTTGGAAAGATCTGTGAATATGAAATTATAAATATATAGGAATAACAAATACCATAGTTATGTTATAGGTATCATAGTTAAAATATATGTTATTGGAATTTTTATGGTTTTACTATTTGTTTCTGAGTATAGTTGCTACTTTTTTTTTTTTTTTTTTTTACTAACTATGAAAAGTAATTAAATAATATTTGGAATTCATGTATCAAAATATTCAACAGAAAACTATTTATAGTAGTTTTTTGTTAAAGCATTATATTACTTTTTTCAGCCTATAAAGTGCTTTAAAGAATTTTTTAATATTACGGTCGTAAATGTCATCTTTGTATTAGTTTAATGAAAAGTTTCAAGTCTCTTATATAGTTTTTACACTCTCTTAATAGAATATAAAAATGAAGTTGTAAAACTGTTAATATCTTTGACTACAATCAGGGTTCAATTATAATTTGTGTTAATTGATATTTTATTTTATTTTAATGAATTTTTGATTATTTAAATCCATTATCCTAATTTGTTAGGAAGTGCAATTTAGTTACATTTTAACTCTTGGATAGTGAGCAAAATTAACAGCCATTACTCTCATGTCATATCCGCATTCAAAGCAGGTAATTCGAACTGACACTTTTTTTCATATTGACTTTTTTTAAGACATTTGTTTTTATCAGTACTGAAAAATTAGAGACTTAGTCTTTTAAAGGGGAGTTAAATATATTCTTTAACATGATGTTAGCTGTTTTAAAACAGATTTTCAACGTATATTATTTACAATAAAAGAAAAGCATGCTAATTTAAAATGTATTGTTTAATTTTGAATTATGTTAATTAATAATATGTAAAATTATATATAATTTTTAAAATTATTATGGTAGTAAACTTATAATAAATTAGTGTTTACTTAAAAGATTATTTGTATAGGATTAGTACTTTGGAATACAGAATTATATGCAAATGTGTCTGAGGAGTAAGTTTGTTTTCTTGTCAAATTCTTTAACATTGAAATCAAATTTACTGCAGCATGCCAGATTTTTCTGCTAATCCTTGTCTTTGTTTGTAACAGGAATATAGTCTCAGCATTATTCTTTAAAATATTACTCCCTGTTAAATGCTTTCTTATTATATATATATATATATATATATATATTACTTCATTATATCTTTTTTTTATTTTTTTTTTTTTTTTTTTTTCCCCTGCTACTTCATCTCTGAATCTCAAATGCAAAAGTGAAAGCTGTGTTTGATTATTTACCTACTTAATAATGAAATAACCACCGAAATGTGGAATGGATCTCGGATTAAGTGAAAAGCAAAATCCTTTATTGTGTAAAAACATGTTGGTCCTTCTGATGTCACATTTTCACATATATAAATTTTTTTCATATACAGTACTCATTTATAATACAAAAATTAGTGGGTAATTTCATGAAGCAAGGTCAGATCCCTTGTGCTTGAAGAAAAATTCACTCTGTCTGAATATTTTGTCCATAACGACAAACACTCTTAGTGTAAGTTTGTAATTTATGGTATGCATCTGAAGTGTTTGCTGAATTTATTGATGACCACCAGAAAATTAAAGCTGAGTTAATACCTATAATCTAATTTGTAGCAATTTCATTTGAAAAGGATACCAGTGTGATATCGATCCAAAAGTCATTTTCAGTTAATATGTAGAATAATATATAATAATTATTATCAGTTAATATGTAGATCTGTAGTGAAGAATGTGAGTTTAGCTCATATTCATTTTGTGTATATATCCCCCCTTTTCTGTAATATAATATCATATTTGTGTAAATTCTGTGTAATTCACTTTGTTGATTTTTTTCTTAATAAGGGTTTCGAATAGATATTTTCATTTTGAAATATTTCAAAATGATTCAGGATTCCTTTGGGGGTGGTCAAAAATATAGTAAATTGAAAAAAAAAATGTAGTTCTTAAAATAAAATAAGCATTATCTAGCTTTGTAAATGCTAAGATTATAATCAAGCAACAATAATTTTTTTTTTAAATTCTTTTAGGGCAAAATATTAAAAAAATGTTACAATTGGCAATGCACAGCTATAGTAATATAAAAATATGAATATGAAATTAAAGTAAGGAATAAAATCCCAAACTTATTGATATTTTGTATGATTACAGTTTATTGTACTTTTAATCAATTATGGGAAATTATATGAAAGCTGGAGATACTTTTATGCAAAAATTTTGTTAAAGAAACTACATCGAGGGAAACAACAAAAATCTTACAGTATTATTACATTTGTTGGCAGGGAAAAGTAACAAAAAGTACTCATTATCACAAAAAAAAAAGAAAAAAAGAAAAAGAAAAAGAAAGAAAAAAGAAAAAAAAAAAATGTTGGTATTCCATAGCTTTTTATCATGTGAACAATAATGAGCTTTTTACCTTATACATTTAAATGATATTTTGCTCATTATTCATAGCTAAATAAAAGAACTCTTCATCATTGAACACAGAGTTCATTCTCTAATGGATTTCCATGTTGTGAAATAATGTTTTGATGCATTCTCAAACTTTGGCTTTCTTTTGTCTGTGTGCTATTTATTATGAGAGACTGAAATTTGGAGAATGCTGACATTCTCCGGTGAATGTCAATATTCACATAGTTGCTTGGTGTATCTCAGAAATATTTGTTAAATATATGTACTTATTTCTCTCTTACACCAACAAATGTCAATTCCCTGTGCACTTATGATGAATGATGTATAAAAATTTGTTACGTTTTTTTTAAATCATATTATTAAAACATGTGACATATGTCAAAAGAGAAGGTTTAAGCAGCAGCATGTGCAAATAAACTGTTGAATTTAAACAGTATATTCTAAATAAAAAAGAAAATAACACTAATAATAATTTTACTTAATTATGCGATTGACATTATGCAGTCTTATTTATTGCAACAACTGTTTTTTTGAACTGCACTTTGAATTGCACAAGAATCCCTTGCTTTTGAAACTGTGTTCAGTTTTGAAACACTTCTTTTTGCAATGGCAGCATGTATAGCCTTGCCTTTCACTTCTTGAATTAATTGCAGCTGCATCTCATTTATCGAAAGTAACTTTTCTTTACAAATTATGAACTGATTCCGGGTGTAAAGCTACTTGAGGGTACCATTTTTGTTTTCTAATTTATAGATGTCAGAATCATCTATTCCAAAAACAACCAGCCATACATTGGACTTTTATTCATATGATGTGACCAGTTTGAGCAGGAAAAAATGTTCTTTCTGGGCTTTATAAGATTTTCATTGCTTGCAGTAGAAGATTCTCTTCAACAACTGCTCTTTTTATAGAAATAAACTCTTGGTATTCAATCAGGGCTTCGTATGAAGACATGGTAGGTTACAGCTCTTCATCTGCTATGGCCGCCACTGCTTAAATTTCTTCAAAAGTGGTAACAATTTCTTCCGGTTATTCTTTGGTTTCAACATCTGCGATTTGTTCGCTAAACAAAGATGACGCTGCTATGCCTCTTTTTGGTTTAACGCCAAACAGGGCTTTATAAGAACTTGAGCATATTCCTTTATGGATGTAGTGTTCTTGGAAAATTGTACAAAGAGCAAACCGTCTGTTCATTTATTTGCATTGTTATTTTCTATCCATGCAGTTAACATATTCTGTATATCCTGAAGTATCCTATCACCTGAGCCTTATGTTTGACTATGATGAGGCTTTCCATGAATTACCTTAATATCTTTCCACGTAGCACATAGTTCGGATATGACTTGGTTACTGAATTCCATACCATTATTTTGAATGCAATATAGCTGAGGTTTCAAATGTTAAAAATATTTGAAGAAGGTAATATGGTACTTCTTCAGCTGTCTTAGTTTACAAAGTCTGTAGCTCGAGAAATTTCATCATATGCTCCTAACCCACCATTATAAACTTATATTTGCCATCCCTGTGGGACTGCAGGTCTATCAGATCAACTTGACATCTTAACTCCTAACTAACAATTGGTTTCAGAATAGTGTCTTTTCTATTACAACTGCATATGTAGTATTTTTGTATCTAATTTGCAATTATTTAAGCATAAAGTGTTTTAGAATACTTTTCAGAAAAATGAAAACAGTTGTCTTTTTGTTTACTCGCAATTAATTAATGTAAATTAAAAAAAAAAAAAGATCATGGTTCACTACAGTAGCCATTCAATATAAATTAGTGTATCAGATAAAAAAATAAAAATTAAGAAATTGTTGACCGCATCAGCAAACCATGCATAAGATTGACAAAGCAGTGTTCCAGATAGTAACAAATAATGCCACATGACTGAGAAACAACAGTATTTCAGAGTATAACTAATAGATGCCACATGACCTCATTTGTGGCAAAACAAAGGATTTGGATCGAATAGTGATAGTCCGAATGTATAAGAATGTAACCAAATATGTGGTTTTTCACTGAGGGTGTGTGTTGAAATTGACTGGAGAGTGTGGCATTCTCCAATTTCGGTCTTTCACGTTAACATGCGTAGTTATGTTTTATAAACTGTAAGAATTTAGGATATAAGCTAAAAATGTTTCAACTCTGTTGAGGGGAATAATGTATGAATTTGAAAGAAGAAAAAATGAGAATTATTTTCTGATTTAGATGCATTGAAACCTTTGAGTTTTTTAATTTTCATTCGAGACAGAAATACAAAGAATATTCTAACTTGCATTAAGCAATAAACTACTAAATTAATTCTCTTTCAGAATCTGAATATAAATGTGAAAAACAATTCTCTTCTGTAATCTTAATTCCATAATCTGCAAGAATAGCTTACTTTTTTATAAATACATACATAATAAGAACATTTAATTGTTATAAATAAATGCAGTTTACCACTGCAGTGCAATTTTAAACTGATTTTTTTAGCACTTATGGCAATATAAATGTACATACATCAGTGTAAATATATACAGCTTACAAATCAAACATTATGTATAGAATTTTATTTGTGCACGATAAATGTATTCACTCAGTGCACTATTTATATTTTTCCCTTCCTTTTTTATTATTGGGCTGGACATGTAATCTGAAACTTAACTATCATAAAAATGGAATGTGTTTGAAATATCTTTTCTTTTGATAGTTGGAATTAACATCTAAGCTTTATAAATGTGAATAATTTCAAAACCCACTTTTATATCCTTATATAGAGTAATA